AAAAAAAAAAAAAATCTTTCCCCACGAGTCTGAAACGTTTGTTTCATTCTCATTGATTTTATTTATACTTCACTGACCAAGCATACCGTTCATACACGAGACAAACTTTCGATATTGTTTATATATAATTTATACGATATCCTTTGCACTCTCGCATCTTCGTCCAGCGTTAAACAGAATTTCAACGTGATGTAACGCGTGTGCATCGATATCTCGAAATGCATGTTCAGTCGGTATATATACAAAATATCGTATCGAGATTTCATTGATGCCGTCTATCTCTTCAAACAACCACGGGCCTCTTCGAAATTGGTTTCAACGTTGCCGGCAGAATTGTCGGCTCAATGGAAATTTGCTGCTATAAGGGGACCTCGCTCTGATTCACCGGCCCGTTCCCTATTCTCGCGTTGTTGTTCAATTGCTTCGTTGTCGTAGTAGTGTTCTCTTTCGAGTCTTTGCTCGATATCATCGCACTCGAGTCCTTGTCGTTGTTACCAGTCGTCTGAGTCGATCGAGAAACGACCGACGCTGGTGGCTTGCCGTTCTTCTGATCCTTTATCTCCAGCTCGTAATCTGCAAGCAAATATCCCAAACTTGAAACTCTTCAAATTGATGATTTCTTCTTTCGAAAGAAATTGTCAAGTTCGTTAATTCTCGAGACTGATAGAGATTTTTTTAATGTTGCACAGAAGGTGGCCTGCAACTGTGCGAAATGATGAGAATGATCGCCGATGAATTACAACTTTCGATAAAAATTACATTTCGACATATCTCCCAATATGTTTCATTGTAGTATCAATATTTTCAATAATTATATTTGTCAAGATCGATCACCACTGTATCGCGTATTTGCAAAGGATTACCCGCTGACCCGTGGGAATGAAAATGAAACTAATTTCTTGACTTTATTGACTATCGAGCTTGGTGGCTCCAATGCACTTCTTGTTTGGGCAAATGTTAAAGAAAGATGACTAAATGTTGAATACTCTCAAGTGACTGACTGTAATGGAT